GTTTTTACTCATTTTCTCTAATATTTATTTCACGACAGAGTTGAATGTATGATCTTCAACCCCGTGCACGGCTTTCTGCCCCAAAGCACCGCTTCGGCGTCCTCTTGCAGTTTACAGAATGTGAAGATGTTTGTTACAGTGTTTAGGGGGGTAGACCTTTTTGTACTGGGGAGGGAGGGGTGGGAGCGGGGTGGGGTCTGGGCTGATGACTAAGACTACCTCAAGGAGAAGGTGCTGCCCACAAATCTCTGTAGCTCACACCCCAAGGGCACATCCCGGCGGGCAGTCGCCTGCCCTCCCCAGCCAGATCCAGCTCCCCTAGAGAAGTGCCAAGCCGGAGGGCAGAGGTGGGCGGCGTCTCCCTCGCTTCCCCCCATTCAAAGCCCGTGGACCATCCAGGGGCCTCCTCTGCTCACTCAGCACAGATCCGTGCAGGCACTTCCTGCTCTGTTGCTCACAACTCCCAGTTTCTTCTCCGTTGCTCACAACTCCCATTCTTTGCACGCACAGAGGCTGCAGGGGATGCGGTCGATGGGCTGCCCCCTCCCCCATTTGGGATGCTGGGCCCCACAGAAAAGCCGGGCAGGTGTGGGGCGGGTTGGTCCTTGCCTTCTAGGGGCTCGGCTCTGGCGTTGCTAATGTTGGTGGTGCTTTTCCAGTTGGGGGGGTTGGGGGAGGGTCCCCGGCTTTTTCCAGCTCCCTAAACTATTTCAGATCCAGGGCAAACCACCCACTGACTTTGACTCCTACTCACACGTGGACGAATAGCACAGACCTGTAAAAGTGGCTTAGTTCACCCCATCTCTTCTCCACACGCATCTGCGCAGGCCTCTGAAGCCCCCATAAACCAGTTTGAAGTCACCGCCCACCCCCCAGGCTTGGCTCATCTCTAGGCAAGCGGCTGGCTCAGATCGACCCGGGGAATGCAGGCGAATAGGCCTGCTTGCCAACCAGCAGCCAGAACACAACTCGACGGCTGGCGAAAGGCCCCTTCGGCTTCAGCACCCCAAGATCTTGTATCTCCCCACCTGGTTACAGGCTCCTTGGCCTCTTGCCTTGGGGGGGCAGGGACCTGTCCCAGGGATGATGTCTCCAGCTGGGCTTGGCTCACCTTCCCCACTTGACGGTTGCTGACAGATGCCAGCAAGGCAGAACGGGTAAAAGTCCGTGGCTGGGATCGACGGGCCTTTCTGCGGCTCCGTGGGTCTCCCGAGCTGGCGCGGCGGTCCCCTTGGCCGTCTGTTATCCCAGCTACATTTTTTCTCAGGAAAATCCCCCCCTTCCTTCGAAATGAGATACCTCAGCGGGCAGCGGAGCGACCCCCACGTGTCCTCCACCTCCTCTGCCCACAGCCACTTCATCGGCGTGGCAAAACTTAAGTTTCTTTGGTTTTATTGTCCTTTTTTCTGTTTTCTCCCCCCCCGCCCCCTTTTTGGAAATTTGGGTTACGGTTTCTTTTCGCAAAGAGCTGTCCACACAACGAGACCGCGCGTTACCTTTTCGCTTGCGGGTGGTTTGCCGGTCCCCCTCAGCTGTTGGAAACCCGAGCGTGGGAAGGGCCCGCTGAGCCCGACCTGGGCCAGAGAGGGGGATGCCAGAAGCCAGAAGGCCACCGTTGGCCTTCTCAGTAACACCGCCTTCAGCCGAGCCCACCGAACGGCTTGGCGGAGGGGTGTAAAACAGGGTAAAGTGAATGTAAGGTGTTGCGGACTCAGGTATTAGGTGAAGAAAAGTAGGAACGTAGTTAGAGGCGTAGCGCGACTGTAGGTCGGTTCCCCCGTAGATGGATCGGCAGGTTCGGTTTGAAGGACGCCCCACGAAAGGTTGGGGTTCTCTCTGCGCCGTCGCTCTCGCGGCAGGCGTTTGTAATTGGGCCGGGGGAACTGGCCCCTGGTGATCGGAGCTCTTTTGACTTTCGGGGGGCATGCTGGCTGGGGGGATCCTGGGCGCGGAAGTCCACCCACCTTCCGGCGGCCGAGGTTGAGAAATGCTGTTTTCAAGCATCTCGGCCCAGAATCTGAGCGACTTTGGACCAGAGCAGACCTCTCTGCCTGCCCCTCCGCTCTGTTTCAGAAGCAGGGAATTCCTCCCCCCCCCACTCCTTTTTTAATTTTTATTTTGCCCTTCAGTCATGCAAGCCACTTTTGAACTGTTGCCAAGAAAATTTCATGGATGTATGTCCTCAAATTCCCAGGATCGAGGCTTGACATTCCCTTTCCTGTCCTTCAAACCAACCTCTTTCTCTCCTTCGTTGTTTTTATCGTTGCTGTTTTCTAAACTTGAACCCCCCTTTTTTTAAACCTTATTTTATTTCTAAAAGGAGAAAAGTCCCCCCCCCAAAAAAACGCAGGAGGGCGGAGAGCTGTCCGCCCTGCCAGTCCCTCCCCTTCTTTAGCTGCTCCACGCCTTCGAGCCCATCATCCACAGCGCCCCGAGTCTGCAGAGACCAAGACGGGGGTCCCCGGCTCAGGCTTCAAAGCGGCAATCAGGCCCTGCCCGGGGAGGCAGGAGGGAGGAGAGGGGTCGGAGAAGTCAGGGCTAGTGGACTACGAAGTAGATGAGTGGTATCGTAGATGACAAGGTGGGGCTCCCTTTGGCGTGCCAGTGGCAATCGGTGCAGGGGCTCTGGGTTCAACAGGTGGGCCGCATGGTCTGAGCCCACCGAAACTCAGGGATGTGTATTTAAAGAGAACCCAGGGCACCCACCGCTGCTGCCACCCCCGCGGTTTCTTTCCCTGCCCCCTGGCCACGGCTTTCGTTAGCCTAGAGGGACACCCCCCCCCCCCCCCCCCCCCCCC